GATCTGCTCCCCGAGCTCGGCCACGCTGTCCGCGTGCTTTTTCCGCAGAGCTGCTGCAGTGGCTTCGTGATGCAGGGTGGCCTCTTCCAGGTCCCTGCGCAGCTTCTGGAACTCAGTCTCCCGCTTCTTGTTCATCTCAACCTGGGCTGAAGTTGCCCCACCAGCCTCTTCCAGCCGCTCGCTGATCTCCTCCAGTTCCCGGGAGAGGTCAGAGCGCTGCTTCTCTGCTTTGGCCCTGGAGGCCCGCTCTGCCTCAATTTCCTCCTCCAATTCCTCAATGCGGGCCTGGGAGCGACAGAAGCATATTAACAAACTCATCTTCATTTCATATTTTGGGGAGGAGGCATGCATGAGAAATTGAAAGCAAGATGACTCACCTGCAGCTCTTTGATCTTCTTTTGTAGTTGAATTTCTACTGCCTGTTCATCTTCAATTTTGCTTATCAGATTGCTGATTTCAAATTCTTTCCTTTAGAGAGGACAAGACATATTAGGACTTACATAAATCAAAAGATGATATCACACAATATTTTTTCTGGAGTTCCTACTTTTTAAGTTTTTCATCCAGTTGCTGTTTGTCATTTTCTATATCCATTGTGGATTCTTGGGCCAATTTTAGGTCTCCCTCCAGTTTCCTCTTGGCTCTTTCTAAGTCCATGCGAAGTTTCTTTTCTTGTTCCAGAGACCCTTCAAGCTAGTGAGAAAGTAAACTATGATAAAATTTTGAAAGTGTATTTTAAAAAATAATCTTTCCAGTGACAAAACACACTCACGTCATCCACTTGCTGCTCTAGCTTGCTTTTAGCTTTGGCCAGGGTGTTGACTTTGTCCTCTTCTGCCTGCAGGTCATCCAGGGTCTGCTGGTGGGCCTCTTGGAGGGCCTTCTTCTCTTTGGTCAGTTTTGCGATGGTTTCATCCAGACCTGCCATCTCCTCTGTGAGGTTTTTCACCTAGGGTAGTAAAATTTCTTTGCATTACATGTTATATTTTGGTGGATTCAGTTTTATGCTTATATTCCATAGATTAATAAAAATGTCAACTTTCTGTATGTTTCAAACCTTGTTCTCGGTGGCATGCTTCTCCTTTTCCACCTTGGCCAGTGTCAGCTCAAGGTCGTCAATGTCTTTCTTCAGTTCTGAACATTCATCCTCCAGTTTCCTCTTCTTGGCTGTCAGCTCAGCATTGATCTCTTCCTCATCCTCAGCTCTTTCTGTCACCTCTTTGATTTTGGCCTCTAGCTGGATTTTGTTTTTAATCAGTTGCTCACACCTTTCCTCTGCATCAGCCAAGGCATCAGCTTCCTGTAGAGAGATTCATTAAGATATTGAGTTTGTTATTTATTTTGAATCTGTCCTTTATCCAAAATAGTAGTGTTACTGAATTCTGATGAATTTTTCAGTTCGAAGATAAATTTAACTTAATTGAACATTAGTACATGGCCTGGAGAAATGCAGCTAATTGGAAATGAGACTATAGATATAGAAGCAAATTAGTTTTCAGATGATTGGATTTAATTGACTATTATAAGAAGTGTGTAGAAGAGTAGAAGGATCAAATTATGTCTCAGTTCTTGTCCTAATATTGTTTCTCTGACCTTGGGCAAACAACTTTATTCCTCTTATTCTTTATTTTCTCATATGTAATTAAGGGAGTTGGAGTAGATGAAAAGATTATTGTAGGTGTAATGTTCAAAGATTTTGACTTAGTCAAATTGGTTGGTTTTGGATTAGACCGTTCCTTACTCACCTCAAAACACTATGTGTTAAGTTGAATTTAAAATAGAAAAAAACAAAGACCATAAACAATTTTATGCCTATGAATAAATTTGCATATAGCATGTTTCAGTCACTCAAAACTTTCTCAATATCCTCAATAGTGCTATGCTTGTCAAAAATTTCCATTTTAAGAATTGTCTACTAGTCTCAAAATAAATTTTAGAATATAGAAGAATATGTAATTCTGAGAACTATATAGAGCTCCATTAGTTTATATAAGTGACTAAAGGCCTCAAATAAAATTCAGTTCAGCTATTAACTTCTTAGATTATTGTGACTTGGTGACTTTCTTTAACTTCAAGGTGTTTGTTTTATTTATTTTGTTTATGTCTCAGTTTTTTTTTTAATGCTTAAAAGGGTGATAATGGGGACATCTTTGGTTCCTTTGCATTTCTTGTAATAGTGATACATTTGGAAAATATTTACTCACTGACTGATGATGATTATGAAAAGAGGTTAAGGTAAAGAGGCTATAAAATCCTATGCTTTGGAAAATTATCCTTTTTACTGGTTTTATCAGGGCATTGTTGGACCTGTTGATCCAAAGACATGAGAGGTTGCCTGACTGGAGCACTGGTATCCAACTTGCTCCCCTACACCCCTTACAACTTCCCTAACCTATGAACAGAAGCCTCAGGAACTTGGGATCTGTATCAAAGGAAGACTAACCCAGGGCAATTGGCCCTGCCTTACACCCTGGTAGTTCAGTTCAATTAAATGTAATTAAACGTACTGTACTAAATCTTATGGGTTAGGCATGGCGATATAGACAGGAATAAGATTAAAAAATCATATTTGATTATAGATACAGACTCATAGACTTGGATTCAGCAAATAGGACTATACTTTTAAGGCTGAGTTAAAACAGGCAAGTTAACAAATACTAAATGAATAAAATATCTGACTGAGATTTGGGGCTTGTGTTTAAATTGCTGCCTTCATGGGTTTAAATGTGTGATATTATTATATAGATTCTTCAAACTTCCTTTTCCATCTGTAATTTGGAAATAATTGTGTCTTATTTTCCTCATAGGACTACTGAAAGATAAGTGAAATACTAAAACTACTAAAACTATCTCCCCCTACCCCGCAAAATACTAACAACCAAAAAAAAAAAAAAAAAAAAAAACACACACAGAGATATTTTTTTCCAAGAAAAAGTCATTTGTAAATTCACAGTATCTTTGAATTCCAGAAAACCTTCAGTATCATGTTGCATTCAGAATAGAGTACTCACAGATTGGACCTGGAGTTGCAGGTCATTTTTCTCTTTCAAGAGAGTGACCATCTTTTCCTCCAATTCTTTCCTTTTTGCCTCTGACTTGGCGAGTTCATCTTTGGTTTTCTGAAACTCTTCCTTCATGGTGGCCATCTCCTTCTCTGTCTCTGCACTCTTGAGGAGGGGCTTGATCTTGAAGAAGAGCTTCATCCAGGGCCAGTGCTTGACATTCATGAAGGCACGGACGTTATACTGGATGCAGAAAAGGGCTTCTCTGAAATGACATTAAAATATCAATGTAGATCAGACACAGTGTTTTTGGTTTTTTAGACATAAACTCCTCTTAATGAGAATATGTCATATTCTGAATAGGTGAAATGCATACTTTGTACACACCATACACACACACACACCCATCACATTCATGGTAGACTCACTATAATCACTTTGCTAATGTATACTGCTTATATTGAAATATTTTATGTTCTCAAGTCCACATCAAACTAGCATATGGTGAATATTCTGCATGTTTGAGCAACATTTATTATTTTAAGATCATTTGAGATATCACAATATTAGTGATTAGAGAGTAGACATGCCATTTTAAGTTGATTGTGCTGCTTGGTCATCAGAATATGGATTTAAACTGTGAAGTGATAGGGGTTGCTTTCTGAATTGCTTATTTAATTGCAATTCAATTGCATAACATTAAGCTTATGGTTTATCATTCTTCCTTGAATTCTCTCCTTTTATTTTGATCACCACTGAATTAGCCACTATATAAGTTCTATTTGTTAGCTTGATCAGATAATATACCAGTTTTTCTAAAATATTTAAAAATATATTATTCTAATCTGCTCACTTGGAGCTATTTATAATCCATAGAGCAGTAGCATCGGTTGAGCTCCACAAATTTGCTTTATTTAAATAAAAATATAGAGTAGAGATTTCTGGGGCCTCCCTGGTGGTGCAGGGATTAAAGTCTCAGCACTACCAAGCTATTGCCAGTCACTGCAGCATGAGTTCAATCCCTGGCCAGGGAACTGACCCCCATGGCGCAGCAGACCTCTCTTGTATTGCCCACTGCTCCCCTCAGCAATGTATTTCAGTCAATTCCACCTGTTCTGTTCCCCACTCTGTCTCTGGTGAATCCTCTCACCCCCCTGCACTTCTGGCCTATGCTCCAGGTCTTGTATGCAAAAATAAATAAAATGAATCTTTAGAATAGAGATTTCCTCTGTTTTTAGAAGATTTCTATATTAATGCCACTTTTATAAAATACCTGCATTAGCACCTGTTTTTGTTAGCTGAAAGAAATCTGAAGAGGATTTCTGTTTTCATGACAAATGGCAAAAAGTGTGCAGAACTAGATAAGTAGACGTGAGCAACACAAATGCAAAATGTGGGTAAAGAGGGCCTACAGTAGTGCTGAGCTGATAGAACTGGGTGAGGTTTTTTAGAGAAAGGGGAAATGGAAGTTTTAAAGTGGTAAATAGGTAAATTAGGATGAGGGGAGAAACCTTGTGCAAACAAAATAGGAAAAGGCCATGTGGTTGGAACTAAGTGATAAGATGGGAAATAGAGAGGATATTGATAACCACACAAAGCAACTTGGGTTTGACGTGGGAGACTGTGGGGACTCTCAGGCTAAGGGATGGCATGATAAAAATAGTGCTTACTGCAAATTATCCTGGCAACTCTGTGAGATGGTTGGAAAGGGAAAACTGGAGGGAGGAAAGAAGTTTTGGAGGGAATCCAAGAGTGAGGGGTTAAGCAAAGGCTGATGTCTTGAAGGAGTGAGTGCTGAACTGTGTAAGAGATACTCACAAAATGAAAGTTAATGAATGAGGAAGGCTGGTTAATAGTCCCTAGGTGGCCTGATATTCTGTACGGTTATTACCTCCTTTGCAACATCTTCTGATATTCCACCCTCATTAGGAATCCCCTGCAGACAGCTTGAGTTCTTGTTATAATCTGGGCCAACTTATCATCTCTCATTTCTTCTAGAAGACCCAGAAGGCCAGCTTTGAAGAAAACCTGGATAGAGGGAGAGTTGCAAATCATCCCCATTCTACAGGAGACACAGAAGTAGAAGGTACTTGGGTCAGGTGTAAAAATAACAGCAATACCTTGGTATGTCCAAATTTGTATTGGGTGTGGTCAATATCAATAGATCCAAGAAGCTTCTCAGAAGCTTTCTTGCTGTCAATGAACTGTCCCTCTGGAATAGCACTTGCATTTAGAACTTTATATCTGTTCAGTCAAAGAAAGAAAGAATGATTAGGAAGGTATGATCATATTTGAAAAACAAATGACATCAAAGAGAAACAATAAAGATCTTAGAGAAAAAAGTAAAAGTGGAAAATCTGACTGATTTTAAAATTCAGATAGTAGAACAATAAGTGTTTTCTGTGGTCTAACAAGTTTACTTCCTATTTTTAAGAAATGCCACCTCTTCTAACCTGTCATTTCATCCCACTATCACAAGACAAATTGATTTACCACAACGCTAATTATCTAATAACTTGGAATTTAATTTTTATAATATTTGCTAAGCAGAATACATGAAATACAATTAACAGAGGACAGTCAGATGATAAAGATTTATGACATTCAGTGAAATATAAAGAGAGACTGGCCTTTGTTTAAAATCTCCGTATAAGATCCTACTTGGGAAGCCCTTCCTGCAGATGCGGATGCCTTCCAGCACACCATTGCACCGCAGCTGGTGCAGCACGAGCTCATGCTCCATGGCCCCTAAGGATAAATCAGAGTATTTATTTTGGAGCACTAAATTTTCAAACTTGGGCCTGTTTGATTATTCCATGCTCTTCTATCTTACCAGGAGTTTTGGTTTCATTTGGAATAATACACCGTACGAAGTGAGGATGTGTGCTCCTCAGATTGGTCATCAGTTTATTTAAGTTTTCCTAAAAAACAGATAGAAAGTTCTATTTCAGATTGCTTTTTTGTAATTAAGTAGAATGAAGCTAGGCATGTTCTTCACTATTAGATATAAATCAATGAGACTTCAATTGTCCTGTATTTTAAAGGTCTTAAGAGTTCTTACCTGCCAAATAATAAAAAAGCCTAAGTGCTGGGGAGAAATGCAGCTCTCCAAGGTATTCATTTATAGCACCTAGATTCTATCTTATAAAAAGCTCCAAGTCTGGTAGCCTTGGGGCATAGAAAGTGCACTTCACCAGGAATCAGAAGACAAAATACTGTGGTGTCAATCTGCCACTGATGAACTGCCAAAGTACCTTTCATCCCTCTGGGCCTCATTTGAAAATAGTTGATATCTAAGGTCTCTTTCATCTCTCAGTGGTAATAGTTTTCACAGTGATAACCTAAGGTTGGCAATTGTCCCGACTTTGCCATCTTTCCTCAAGTTTAGTATTCCCTAAGACCTGTAACTTCTTATTCTGTATTTTTTTAATATATGGTGTGGGTAGAGCTTAGGTACCTGAGAATGAGCCACAGTGAGGATTATTCCAGAAATAAAGTAATAACTGATGGCAGATAATGATGTTTTACACAATCTTAGAAAACTCACATGCAAATATTTCTCAATATACTTAGGTATATCCTCTTGGAGAAGACAAAGATACGTGTTTTTCATGCCTCGGTTATCCATTCATAAGTTAAATAAGTAATGTGAGTTTCTAATCTTGGAAATATATACAAGGATAAGTTGATGAACCAAGGATCTATCTTGATGAGATCACAAAAATTGGTAGTGAGAAAGAAAAAAAAAAACAGTAGTTTTCCTGTTTAGGTATAGTTCATGTGAGTGCATTTTAGTTGGAAAGGAATGAGACTTAGCTATACACATTCTGAAAAAGCTGTCATTAGTCCAGACAGTTCATACACTCCATTTAGAAGAGCCAGTTTTTAAGTTATCTTTAAAAATCACATCATTTGTAGTAAAATTATTATTGCTGTTGTTTCTGTCACAAGAGGTATTTTCAAGCTTTAGTCATCAATCAAAATCACGGACTTTGGATGATTTTCAGCTATTATAAAAATTAAATTCACCTCGGAGAATAAAGATGAGCTTTGGTGAAGGGATGTCCTAAAAAGCGTATTTCTGGCTCTTTCCCAGAGACAAACTCGGGAACATTCTCAAAGGGCAACATTAGTGGAATAAAGATAAAGTCTTCCGCAGGGACAGTTAAAATGCAGTTATGCTTCTTTAAAAATCAGCCTTATTACATTTAAGAAAGCTTCTGAGGACACTTTGGCATTCTTAAATACATTAGATGATCCTAATAAGGAATGATGAGTAAAGCATCCAACCCTACAGAAAATCGTTGCTTTGTCTGTACCCTGACATGAGTGAATATTTAAAGTGATTCCTATTCACATTCCATTCTTTGCTAATTTATTCTAAATCCTGTAATTATGATGACTCATTAAAACTGTTAGATTTTTTGAATTAAATTTGTACTTTACCCTGAAAAGGGCTGACACAGTCTGGAAGGAAGAACCTTTCTTCTTGGCACCTTTCTTTGCACCACCATCTGAGGTAAAAATAAAGCCCATCATTTAAAGTAAAATCCCAGAAAAAGGACTGTCACTTGTGCGTTCTGTGGGAGTAGGTGTGATTAAGATAAAGTACCTGCTTCAGCACTAGCATAGGTGGAAAAGAGACTGGCCAGAGTCTTCATTGAAGACTTCTGGTACAGCCCCACCACAGTCTCATTCAGGGGGTCCTTGTTCTTGTCAAGCCAGCCTGCAATGTTGTAGTCCACGGTGCCGGCATAGTGCACCAGTGAGAAGTGGGCCTCGGCCTTGCCTTTGGCAGGCTTGGGCTTCTGGAAGTTGTTGGACTTGCCCAGGTGCTGGTCATACAGCTTGTTCTTGAAGGAGGTGTCTGTGGCCTTGGGGAACATGCACTCCTCTTCCAGGATGGAGAAGATGCCCAGTGGCTGAATTCAGAAAAATAGATATTGGTGTCAACCTATCGTTTCTCAAAATATTATAGATGTGACTGTCGTTTGATCAAATTAAAAGGACTCTGAGTTAAATACATTTGTAACATAAACGAGGGTCATAGCTTAAAGAAGTCCTTTTGTTATAACTAGAATGATTTTTCTATCATTTTTTCTCACGTTTGTTCTATAACCTTATTTTCAACTAAAAGAATAGCTGGGTACAAACTCCAGATCACAAAGCTTGTGGGGGTAATCTAAGATATTCTCTATTTATCACACTTTATTTCCTGTTATGTGAATTAATCTATTATCAGAGTTTTATTTTGCTATGAGAAGGACTTGCAACTTAGCATGATGTTTACTTTACATGTAATAATTAAACAGTGTAAGTAACCCAAACCTTGAGACATTTTGTATAGATCAATGATGGAGAAAAATACCCAATTTAACTTCTGAACAGATTGCCTTTCCTGCATAGTAATGCTTTTGCATTAACATTTGTTTAGAAATAAAGATTAATTCCTGTTGCTGGCATGTTGGATCATAATGGAGATAGATTTAAGACTAGTGAGACATTTCAGTAGAGTTTTCAGTGCTGCCTTAAAATTGCATTTGAGTCAGTGTTAGAACAAAACTGATTAGGACAAAATGAAACAAAACACTCTCTGATCCTTCTTATATAAATGTTGAAAGGGGAATTTTTTTTCCTCAATAGCAATTTTCTAATTTGTTCTGATAACTCTCTATTTAAGAATACAGTAATACTTTTTTAGAGTTACTTTGAATACTCGGACAAGTTACCCTTACCATTCACCCTTTCTTTAGAAATCAAACAGACCTTCTCAATGAGCTCAATGCAGGCAGCCAGGTCCATCCCGAAATCAATGAATGTCCACTCAATGCCTTCCTTCTTGTACTCCTCCTGCTCCAGCACAAACATGTGGTGGTTGAAAAACTGTTGCAGTTTCTCATTGGTGAAGTTGATGCACAGCTGCTCCAGGCTGTTGAACTACACAAAAAACATAATTCCCAACATTAAAGATATTTTTTATAGGGGTAGAATCCATCTCTCAAAAAGTATTTTATGGAGAATGTGTGGGCTAGATATACTTATGGAATACAGTTTAAACTAATCATTGTTTGTTCAAATATCCCAGGAGAAAAAAATGCTGATTTGTTTTTCATAAATTCTGGGCATTGTTTGAGGGTACAGATGTCAATCACATAGCAAGGATCCGATAGACTCTACCTCTTTCTCCTTCTAAGGTTGTGTGGGTAGTAATGTGCATTAAAAGTGTACTCATGATTCTATGAATTGTGGTTCAGATTTAAGGGTGGAAATAACATTGGAAAGCCTCACTTCCAACCCTACTCCCCAATTCAAGATAAAGTTCACATTTTCACTTTTGACTGTTACATGATTAAGGAAATTTTATCTTAAGACCTTTAGTTGATGCACAAAATAAAATTAATAGGCTAATTTCTCTTCTATTTATATCAACATTTGGCAAATCCCCTGCTCAGGTCTGTGACAGAAAAGAGTTGATGTGGTATAGCCACTGAAAATCTGAAAGAGACTTTGTAATAACACACATCCTTATTTCCCCTCAGGCCCCAGGGGGGAAATGGTATGTCAGACTAGCTTGGAAGAGGAGAGACTCTGAGCTCTCTCTATGTTTCTGTCTTTAGGCCCTTTCTCCTCCATGGGAGATGCCTTGAGTCTGTACTAGGTACTGTAGGTCTGTCCGGATTCCTGTTCTGACCTTTGGATCCTGACTGATCTTTAGCAAGAGTTTTGATTTTTCTGCATCTCAGTTTTTCTGCATGTAATTAGTTGTACTATTACTCCTTCATGGGCCATTTTGAAGATTAAATGAGGTAATATTTTGAAGTGCTTAGTATAATGCCAGGAATAAACTGACTTCTGAATAAATGTTAACTATTAGTATTGTTACACTCTGTTACTACCTGTTTTGGAGATAAACCTTGTTTTAGGTGCAGGGTTGGAGAAAGCAATGTGGACACTACAAATGCAAATGAATGATGATAATACACAGTATATCAGAGCCCACATTGCCTTCCTCTCAACTTTTTATGGAGATAACTCACATCAAAGATCTCAAAGCCCGCGATGTCCAAGACCCCGATGAAGTACTGC